GTGTGTAAATGCAAGTTATAAAGGTCTGAGGATGAAAACACTTAAGTGGTGATAAGTAGAAAGTGATTTGAGGTGTATAAAGGAATGAGATGTTTCAAATTTCTTTCTCTCCTTATGCAACTGGTATATGAAGACTCCAAAAGTTCACAGTCTTAACATTAATCAATGAAATTCTGATAAGCTATTTGTAAGGATTCAGGCATTATGCTGGCCTGCCCCTGTCACCTGGCAGAATGCATTCAGGCAGTACCCTGGTCAGCCTAGGGTTCTAGTCTTCATGCAGGTGCAAAGGACCCCTTTAAAAGAAAGACTCCCGCCCACTTATGCTCTCTTTCCAGCTCTTCTCTCTCTGCTCTTTCTCTTTCTGTTCTTTTCCCGCCCTCTTTCCGGCTCTTCTCTCTCTCCATTCTCTTCTCTTTCTGCTCTTTTCCAGTTCTCTTCTTGCTCTCTCTCCCGCTGTTCCCCTGGGCAGACAAGACTTTTCCTGTCTCCCTCTTCTCCTCTGTCCTCTCTCTGTCTCTTTACCTCTTTTCTCTTTCTTTCCCCCTCCTTCCCCTTTCCAATAAAACTTCTCACTTAAGCTCTCTGTCTGCCTGGCATGTTTGTCCCTCTGCCTCTGTCACCCTCGGCCTCTGTCACCCTCGCTTGTCATGGAATCTGCCATTGTCCCTCACCCAAGGTCCCCCTCAAGCTTTATCCTACCACTATTAATCTAGCTCTGGCAGAGTGCCACTGCTATTATCATAGTCACAAACTCCGGATTTAAAATTCCCATTGGTTGTTTTTTAAGTATAGACTTAAAAGTGCATCTCATTGTGCTTAAAAACATCTATTTAACCTATATACACCCAGTTTTCTGGAAAGAGGAAAGAGTGTTAATACTTTCAACCAGAATCATTTTGGGGTCCCCTATGACTCAAAGGCACGAGTCTACTGCCTTTCCTAAAATGTGGGTTTCAGTACAGAGTACAAACAGTGGGAATGCTAATGTGTCTAAAATTTAGCTCTTTTGTAAACTCAACAAACTTCTTGTAAGCTCCAGGAAGTCGACTTGGATCCTCCTCAAACAGGTCAGCTGCACTGTCAGCTGCACTGCAGATAAGCACTGTCAATCAACAGCCTAAGTTTCCTAACCTACTGCTTGTTCCTAATGGTGGACTCTCACCTACCTTCTCCTGGTCTTGGGATTGACCTCCCTTAATTACCTAAGAAAAAAAATCTCTCCCCTAAACTTAATTTTATCTTTTGCTTTGCCAGCATTCTGCCAGGTCTCCTGAAAATCTACATCCAGGTCAGCTTCAAAGTGTCTAGCCCCAAGTAGTCCAAACTCTCAGACTGCTTCAGCTAGACTTGCACTTTCTTAGTGCCAGATGATCCCACAGAGCCTGGACATCAGTGAAACAGCCAGCTATCTGTCGTGGCCTGGCTTGCCTCAGCTTTAATCCATGACAGCCATGAGGTTCTACCTGAGTGGGGGTGTGTGGGCTTGGAAGCTTCTAGTAACCCAACGGCGATAAAGACCAAACACAGGCATCTTGTCATCTTTAGAGAGCTCTCAGTTCCATGTTGTGGAACTAGAGCCATTTCTTTATTAATCATCTTTTCTGGTGTCCCTTAACCACCATGCTAATACTACGAGGCAACCCTTTCTCTCTTTGTCCTCCCTCTCTCTCTGGCCCTCTGGTCCTCATTCATTACTCACATATATATCTCTAGCCCTCCGCCTAGGTGAGGGCCTATTCAGATGCTTAGGTCCATACAGATGCAAAATAAGGCCTCAGGCCAGGTAAAGTTACAGCCTAGTGTTAACAATACAATGGAGTTTCCAGGCGCCATCACTGTTTATGTCAGCCAGGGCCTGAACCCAGAATATTTCATAACAGGGATATTCGGTCCCCCACAGCTATCCCAGGACTTGGCCGCCATCCAAGCTTTCTCAGGTTCCCCCAAAGATGTCAATGCCCCTATACAACAAGAAGCACTCTAGAGAACACGGCAACCCCTCCCCCATTCTCATCTCACCAGCTACCCCTTCCTATTTCCTCACCTTTTTATAATAAACAAAAGAGAGGAATGCTCACATTCAGGATGTGGCCTAGCAGGACACATCAGGAGCAGCTTCCAAGATGTGACACTATAGGAACTATAGCCACTAAGTAGAGCATTCTCTCTATGTGAGTGCGCTATATCCCCTCATAAAAGGCAAGCCCTTCTTGCCCATCTCTCTTTCCTTCTGCTCTCACTCGGAGGCCACCTCTGCAAATCCCCCAAATAAACCTCCCATGTGAGTTCTGTTACATGGTGTGACTTTGTGGTGCCCCTTGGCACCAACCTGTCAAAGTTGCCATCTGCTGCTCAACTATTACAGTATTACACCTACCCCTTACCACAGGTGTGGGAGAGCTGGCCATGATGGCACGGGCCTAGGAGAGCTGGCTCTGCCTCTCTCCTGAGGGGGTGGTTCCAGTGGCCCAGACCAACCAGCTCAGCTACCACCAGACCCACATCCTGTCCTTGTGCTGGGCCACCCTAACAACTGCCCTATCCATGACTTGCCAGAGTGTGCAAAGGGACCGGTCCTGTGGAATGATAACCAAAGGTTCTCTATGACTTGGGGCAGCAACAGGGTATCTGAGAGGAATTTCTATGAGGACCCAGTGATGATGGTATACTAGCAACTAGAGGCCTTGAAGCAGATCAATGATTCATTGCAATGAACGTTTTGGGGTGGGGCTGATTAGACAAAAGGGATATACTTCATGCGGACACACTGCAGCTTCCAGTGTTACTAGGATGAATGAAGAGGAGTTAGAAAGATGGAGGAATGAAGTCGGGTTTTGTTGTTTGTTTTGTTTTTTAATTGGGGTGCATACTGCAGGGGTGGGGGCAGATATGGAGGGACTGGGAGGTGAATAGAATTGGGGTGCATGATGTGAAATTTACAAAGAATCGATAAAGAATTATGTTTAAAATAAAAAACAAAACGGTAGGTGGCTAATATGATACAAATATATTGTATAAAGGCATCAGATTTCCAAAGAATAATTATTTTTTTAAAAAGAAAAAGAAAGCTGGGAATGTAGCACAGTGGTAGAGTGCTTACCTAGAATGCATGAGGTCCTAGGTTCAATTCCCAGCACCAATTCTCAAAACAAAGAAAAAATAAAACAAACAAAACATGAGTGTAGAACCCAGACAACAAACAGAACTGCTTCAGACCTTGAGATCAACTACAAAGCAGAAAAATCTCCCCCTTTTAACCTGTTCTCCAAGCCTTCCAAGTGCTCTCTATCTAAAGAAATCACACACACACACACACACACACACACACACACACACACACACACACACCAAAAGAACAGTTGTAGCTTCTTCACAGTTCTTTGAGTGCAGCACCTGCACTTAGCTGTGGATTTCCTAGAACAGGATGGCCAGGAACTAACTGCTCTGTCATCAGCATCCCCAAGCCCTGATCCTTGATGCACATCTTAGACTGAATTCACCCATGACAGTGCTCCAGGTAATGCCTAAGGGTTTTTCTTTAAAATAAAAATAAAAAAAAAAACTTCTTGGAAACAATTCACAAAAGCATATGTGGCCAGCCTAGATCTAGGGATGGATGGATGTTGGGTCCAGCAGGGAGAGGTTGTGCCTCTATGCACAACTGCAGGTTTCCTTTCACCCTTTCCATTTGGCTTTCAGAGTAAAAGAATCACCAGGCTCCCATACTACTTGGGTCGAGATCAGCTACTCATGCTGTCAGGAGACTTTGGAGTCAGGGGCTCCAGCCCTCAGCTGATGAGAACAACATTGGCTTGGATGGAGCTGTCTTCAGTGCCTGCCAACAACCCCACTCCTCCCATGTCTGTCTTGCTTCCCAACAGATCCCCAAGGAGGCACAAGAACAGGACGCTTTGTCCTCACTATCTCAGGGCCCACTCAGGTCTAGATACAGATTCTCGGGCAGACAAAAAACATCCTAGCACTAAAAATCTGGCAGCCACAAACCAATAGCCCCAGTTTGGTCCCAATATGAGTACGGTTTTCCAGTGCGGCCACTGGACTGTCTCACCACAACTCAACGCCAATCCTGAGAAGGGGAAGTTTGCTTCCAGGGGCAGGAACAGTGGGGGACCAATTGGAAGACTTGAAGTAGTGCCAGTGGGCTAATCCTAAAACTCGAGACCACAGGTGGACGTTGAAGGTGGGGAAGAATGGGAGGGTTTCACTAGATGGAAGCTCCATGTCTTCAAGAGAAAAAACTAAAAGCATACTCAAGGCTACTGAGACACACAGACCAGACATATCAGAATCAGCATGCCAGAAAACTTATTAAAATGCAAATCTCTAAGCTCCAAACTCTTTCACCTCCAGGGCACCAGGGGGTTGGGTGGGGGCCCGGAGATCTGAATTTTAAAAATGCTTTCCCGAGAACCTCCCCCTTGAGGCCTGAGATTACCAGAGCGGGTCAAGGCTGTTTTAAACAAAGTTGTTCCCCCACCTGCACCCATTACTCTAAA